ATGCGATTTATGCACACTTTTTAGATCTATAATGATTCTGAAAATATGCTTTGCTGTATCGGCCTATTGGTAATTCAGTTTTTAAGCTTAGAATGTAAATAGGTTTGTTTCGATCAGTTTGGTATTCGCCAATAAATGGCTACTAAGCGGAGGAGCAAAGGTTATTTAATAACATATTATAAGAATTTGCAGTTGGACGCACCATTCTTCATCACTTGGTTTCAATGCCTCACAGCCGTCATTATAATTAGAGGGGTATCATTATGTTCCTCATTCTGTCCAGAAAGGGTCACATTCCCTGAAATAAAATGGTGTTATGAATCTTCTGTAAAGGTAGAATTTAAAATATCGCTTAAATAATGATTATTATTTTTCCCTGAAGGCGTTTCCGGTTTCGGTTGTTTTCTTAGCTATGGTGATGTCTAATAATCTCAGCCTAAAGTACTTGGGAGTCTCGTTCTACTTCGTTGCCAGATCATTGACAACTGTCTTTAATGTTGTAAGCCTATTTTTGTTGTTTCCATCATTCAAAATTTGGTAGAATCAATATAAGAGTCACTTTGCTCTCTTTAAACAGATATTAACGTACATCATTCTTCAAACGAAGACTTCCGTTAAGGTCGTTGCTTGCTGTCTTATTATTATTATTGGGTATGCTATCGGTACATATTCAGAAGAAAATCTTGGTAAGCGATGGAGCATTTAAGGTTGAACCATGTTGCTGTCTCCAGCAGATTATCTCTAGTGTACTGACCGAAGATTAATAATCCTGTTTTTTTTTAATATATTGTAATCGCTCACATGCTTTTAGTGAAGTAATTATTGCGAAGGAAAGTTGGATTTCGAGAAATTTCTTGTTTCATAATTGTTGAGCCTATTTCCATTTCGAATGAAAGTGTTGAGTGAAGAGATTAGGAGGTCGGTTCCACCAGAAGACGACGTCGGATTCCTCCTTAGCAGCTGTCGATTGGCTTTACTGTAAGATTTATGCATACGCTGCTTCCGAGGTAATCTTCGATTTCGGTGAAAAGGTGCTATGCTTTTGTCCGTCATATGATGAACATCATCAGAGTAAAGTATCGTCGTCACAACAAATTCAAGCTAACGAGTCAAGAAAACTCACCATCAAATTCCTAAAAAGTGGTATATATACTATACATCTGGCCTCTGATCAAGTATAAAGTGATTTGGTAAGTTAAGGTCATATGTAAACTTCGATGCATGTCAGTGTGTATGTCTGTATGTGTATGTACCTGTTTGTGTTCGCTTATTTACGAAACCCACAGTGATGGCAGCAAAAAGAAGCGTCTGTTTTTGGCCATCAATGTTTGATGGCTAAACCCCTATCTCCTTTCTACATAAATGTTATAACTATCACTCCGATTGAGCAAGGTCAGACACACGTCTGGTTTTGTTGATGAGCCTATTTTTTATTTTGGGTCTCAAAGCAAAAAAGAAAAAGTGAACTAAAAGTACAGAAAAGTGACTATCATTAGAACCAAGACATAAAAATACTAGTTGCGTCGCCTCCTTTTTGCAGGCGGCTCAAATCCCTCTCCTTCAGTCTATTAAGTAAGCATAAGTAATTTTTACTTGTCTTCTTCTTGGTATTACATTTAATGTATTTCCTATTTAGTTTATTTCTATGATTCTCTATTTTTACATTTAGCCGCAAACATATCATAATCAGCAAAACGACAACCTTGAGAGCATTCAATCCTTGACACGATATTGCATAAAGGAGGCGACGCAACTAGTCTTTTCGTTGTTAGAGGGACCTTCATTTCGTACGAAAGTGCATGAAGAAGAGATTCGTTGGTCGATCTCACCAGATG